GCTCCTGGAAAGGGAACCTCGGAATTGTGATTCAGGAGAGCATTTCATTTTATTGCTGCAGTCAATCTCAGCATACTCATTCGTACTGGAATTCTGCTGGATCAGAATGGCTAATTTGCTTTCATTACCAGATTGATTTATCTGCAATCTTTATTTTTCATTAAGTTGTTGAGTCAAAGATTGCAAAACTTTAAACAGAACTATAAAAGCTGAAGGTATTTGAGAGGTTTTAACAATTGCATATTAAAACTTCAGCATGACAGATGTGATGGATGCTTTGTCCCTTGATTCCAAGTATAATATTTCTGCACTTGAGTTCCCATCATTAACGACCCATGTTTAAGCAAAAACCCTCAGTAATTCACCAAATAACCCCAAGCAGCAGAGGAAGCAATGCAATGATTACTTTGATAATACAATGTGAGAAAGTAGGAGAAGGGAACGAATGCATTCCCACAAAAATGTGCCCTGAGCTCTTTTGTGATGCTAATCCTGAGAGAGCTGGCACATGTAGTGGCTAAGCCACTATCCATCATATCAGAGATATCTTGGCAGTCTGGTAAAGTTCCCACTGACTGGAAAAGGAGAAATCCTTTTCTAAAAAGGAAAACAAGGAAGGTGCAGGGAGCTACAGGCCAGTCATCTCACCTCAGAGTTAGGGCATGAATAAGCATGAGGGTGCAGTTGTGCAGCTTCTTGAATATAAGCAAATTCTGTGATCTTGTGAGCCCTGCTCATCTGGAAAGGTGTCTGGGTATGTGTGGCAGTGTTGAAATACAGTGCCACAGTGGTTTTATTTTAATCAAGGACTCTGCAATTTTCTGCACATAAATTTCATCGCTTTGGTCTTTGGTGTGGTGGGGACTTGCCCTGTAAAATGTCTGTAGCCAGTGTGGTTGGAAAAAACTTACCTTTGTGTATTTTCTGAGGAAGGAATTTGGGGAGAAAAATTGTTGTTCTGATTGATTAGTGCTAACAGGTTTCATGTGCCTTCCCCGAGGAATAGCTGGAGCTGGTTCTCCACCAACATCTGGTCAGCTATCAAATCACCAGCATATGCACTTCAGCCAGCTCTCACCCATGTGCTGAACACATGCCAGGCACTTTACTGAAAGGAATTTGGAGAATAAATTGAGGGGAAACTATTCACCATAAAGAAATATGTGTTCTGTTTTTATAGGATTATTTCAGCTATTGATCCACCTTTAATTTTTTTCCATCAAGTGGGGTTTTGTAAGCATGTGAAATTTTAAAAAAGCAACACCCTGAATATTTTCCTAAATGGAGAGTGATTTGGATTCAGTCTCCATTGAAATCAGTCTTGGAAGTCTTGTCCACTGGTTTTTTTTTTTTTCAAAAGTGAAAAAGTGAAATTCTTTGTTCAGACTGGAACAAAAGTCCATGAACAAGGTCAAATTCTCCAAGCAAACACATCCTTTCAATTACCTTGCAGTCTAATGGTATCAAATATGTCTTCAGAGTAATCTACAAGAGGACACAGCCAAAAATAGATGCTGCAGGAGTGGTTTCTGTTTTTCAAGCATTGTTTGCCTGTGTCTTTTCTCCAAGGGCAACACCTCTGCCTTTAATCTTAGATGAATTAAGTGTTTTTTGGGGTGCTGCTGAGGAGCCCAGTGGCCCTCAGCTGGTCTGTGCCACAGTGACAAAGGGTGTTTCCAGCTCAGATCTGGGTGAGGATACTTTGTGCTGGTCTCTCACTGGCTTTTGTGGATAGGAGTTGTCCAAGGGCCTGAGAAACACAAAAGCCACTTAATTAAACTGTTTGCAGAAGATGACCAATTGTCATCTTTAGATGTACTAAAGACAGCCTCTGCACCAATCTTAGCTATGGTGCTTTTATGTTTTCCTTAGTTTGCTTTGCCAAGGCTTCCCTACCTAGAGAAAGAAGGCTGGGTGAAGTTAAAATGAAGTCAGTGTTGGTCAGTCCAGAATCAGAAGAAGCAGCAGCAGGGTTCTGGGGGTTGTGCTTTTGGACACAAGGGAAGTACACCGTGGTTGTGCAGGACTGAGGGAGCTGGGGTTGTTCAGCCTGGAGAAAAGGAGACTCAGAGGTGACTTTATCACTCTGCAGCTCCCTGAAAGGTGGCTGTGCTCAGGTGAGGGTCAGTCAGAACGAGAGGACACAGCCTTAAACTGCACCGAGGGAAATTTGGGTTGGATGTTAGGAAAAGGTTTTTACTGAAAGACTGATCAAGTACTGGAATCATCTGCCTGGGGAGGTGGTGGAGTCACCATCCCTGGAGGTGTTAAAAACAGATTGGATGTGGCACTCGGTGCCTGGGTTTATTGAGGTGTTAGGGCAGGGTTGGACTGGATGATGTTAAAGGTCTCTTCCAGCCCAGTGGTTCTGGGAGAGCCCTGCTGTGTTCCTGGGCAGCTGAAGGATGTGCCCACACACACACAGCATGGGCACAGGGCCAGCTGCCATGGCTGGGCTGGAGAGATTCACTGCTGCATCATTGCTGCTCTCCACACAGAGTTTTGAAGCTGTTGATAAATACAGATTTAATCTAGATTTTAAAAATATTTTTAGTCTTATTTATGACCTTACTCTTTAATGGAATTTGGACATAATTTCTTGTATTTCTATGCTAGTACCTAAACAAAAACATGAAAAATAAGCCATGTCCTCCCATATTTCATCTTTGTTAAAGTAATCCTGTCTCTTGTAGCTATTTTTTGCTTAGATTTTTAGAAATAGATCTTAATGGACCACCTAACTAATTCAGCTGGAAATCATGAAATAGTTCATGACCTCATGAAACAAACATATTAGTTTTCCTACTGCCAGTTGAACTCCTTAATCAGAGGGTCGAGAAAATTCTCTCTAGAGACCCCTGTCTTGTTGCTTTTCTGTTAATGAAAAGATTCCCAGAAGAATGAAAAGTCTCCTGCATCTTCCTGCTTTCTGATTAACTCATAAGGTGGATTTCTGGGTCCTTTTTTATAACTACTGCAAGTCTTACACTATTTTCTACTTTCCTTTCTTGACAGTATTTAATACATCAGATATATACAAATAAATACCTCAATTTCCTCGTGTACCGAAGTTACTGGCAGCTCTGAAGTGTGTTTCTGCAGGAAACATGAACCTGCAGTGCAGTTTTGGAGTGTCCTGGTTACCCTGGTCACCTCTGGATTCTAAAGATAGGTTTTGTATTGTGCACTTCTCCACAGATAAATTCCAGTGCTCGGTGCCTCGGGGGTCACTGATGCCACTGTGCAAGTCAAGCCACTGAAACCTTTTGGGACTACCCAAAAACAGAGGCCAGACAAAATTAAGGGAATAAAAAGCACCCCAAGTTTGCTGCCCCAACTCCCTTTTGTTTCCATCTCTCAGGCCTGAGGCAGTGAGGTGTCCTTGATTGCCAGGCCTGGAGAGGAATTGCTGTGTCTGAGCAAAATCAGGGAACAGTAGCTCACACTGTGTGTGGAGTTTAGAGTTATACACTAAAGAATTGCAGGATTACAGATATGTGAAAAGTATAAAAGCTGAATCCTAAGGCATGACAAGAGAGAGCAGTCTGTCTGCAGTGCTCTTGGCAGGCCTGGCAGGCTCCCTGGCCAAGCCCAATTGTGTCTGTGCAGAGTCTGAGCTCCAAGAGACCACCAGCGTTAAATGCCCTCTCTTTCTCTAGCCATGGCATCTGCTCTCCCTGGTATTAGTACCTGGCACGGGGCACAGTTGGCCCAGCTTTTACTTTCTCTATGGTTTTCAATTGTAGGAAGGCTGCAGAAGCAATTTTTGGCCTTTTTTTTTGCCTAGTATTTATTAGAATAGTCCCTCTCCTCAGGCAATGTAAACCAGCAGTATCTTTACACAGCCACATTTTTCTTGTACATGAGCTTGTGTCCACAGTTGCATTTTGGATTTTCTGGCCACTTGCTTGCTCCTGGATATTTGTGTGTGTGTATGTCTTAAACATGTTGTTATTTAAGTGTTTTCCTCACCCTTACCTATGCACAGGTTCCAGTTAAGAGGATTTCTTGCTCCATAAAGGCTTGGAGCATTTGGAGTGCCACGATAAAGGATGTGCTGCCTCAGGAACCCCAGCCAGCCCATACAGCAATCTTGAATGTGCAGAGATTCTCCCACAAGTCTGGTTTAGTTCTGGAAACTATACTGATGACACTGAATAGTTCATTCCAAAGGTCCTTCTGATAAGAATAGTTTGGGAAGTCCAAGGAGAAGTGACACCCTCTTGTTCTTCCACAGTCTGTGGGAGGAGATTACCTCAAAGTCATAATCCTAGAGATGGCAGTAAGGGCATTATTTTCACTTATCAACTGCCCCTGTGCTGTCATGTGTAGTGCAGTGATTCTCAGCTCTGAAAAACTGATTAACATGTGGAAAAGTAATGGCTATGGAATCCCAGGAAGAAGGAGGGAAGGGTTTTGCATCATCTCCCACTGATGGTGGCATTTTTGGGTGCCAGAGTGTGACAAGTGTCATCTCCAGGTGCAGTGTCACCCCTCAGCTCACCCCACAGTCAGACATGTCCTGATGGTACCTGGAGCTCCACCCTTCACTGGGTGCTTGGGTAGCAGCCCCATCAGCTTTGAGAAATGTTCAGTTAAAGCTGAATAAACCATTGTGTATTGAAAATAGGAACAAAAGGTGTGCAGGCCTTTGGTGCTGGAGGTTCTGCTCATTCAAAGGAACCATAGGTATCTCCTCCAAAGAGTCCAAACTGAGGGCAATCCATTTTTTAGAGCCAGTATTCATCCTGTCTAGGGCCATGCAAGTTTTGGATTGCTAGGCCAACATACTTTTAAGGGCTATGTTTTTATAACAACACTAAAATTTGTAAAAATCCAAACCCACCCCACCCCACAGCAAGATGTTTACTTGCTAAGACACCAGAGGTTTACCTTATCCCCTGAAGTGATGATCTATGGTTCATTTCTAATAAAACACTCTTCAAGCTATTTCTTTTTACCAGAAAACTTTATTTTATAATGAAAAATGTTGTCTTCTCAGCTGCTGGTGCATCTTTGCGACAGTACACTGGGGTTTAGCCTGGAAAAATAAAACTGGATGCTTTTTTTGTGTGGCAAAATCTTTGTTAGACTAATTAGATAAGTCCTAATTTAAGCAATGTAGACTGTTCCTGTGGGTCTGCCTTGAAAGAAACAGTGATGGTTACAGAGTTGTCATTCAGAGCTTGTTTTGCAAGTGCTTTGTGCTGGAATCCATCCTGGGAATTTCGTGTTGCTTGCTGTAGCTGTGGCTTCCAGTCATCACTGTCCCTGTAAGTGACTGATCAAATAAAGCAGATAACTCTGTTTCTGCTCCACTGGCTGTTGAACCTCCAAATCACTTCAGGTGGTTACAGCTGTGTGACGAGCTGCTTACCTGCAGATACACAACTGCTCGTGGATCTCCCCTCAAAGACTGTGAGCAGTGTTCTTTATAAATTACCCGTCCTTGGGAAGCCAGTGAAGGGCACAGATGATGTTGCTCAAGCACAGCCATAATTCGTTCTTCAGTTATCTTGGTGCAAATCCTGTTAAAACTGTGAATTGGTATTACTAAGTAACAGCTGACAGGTTTGAACTTGGCAGATAAGAATTTTATGAATCATCCTTAGGAGTTCTGTTTTGATGAGAGGGGAACAAGAGCGATAGCCACAGCTTTGTGCCACGTCCAGCCATTCTCCTCAGGGCTTTTATTGCTCTCCTGGATCATCTTACTGTGGTGCTGCCAGGGGTCCATCAGCCTCCTACTGCACAAATACTCCCAGAGAACTCCTTGCTTTATTTATCTGTCAGCAGAAGCCCGGCAGTGTCATAAAAGGTTAATTCCACATCTGGGCTCCAGCCTTCTGCCAGCCAACTGACTCACTTCTGCTTGAGACTGCTCACTTGGAAAAAGTCATTTCACCCTAAGTTATTATTGTATAAAATAATGTTCAACTGTACTGAACTTGAGTATACAGAAATAATAAACAGCTAAATTTAATTACCAGCTCATTCATTGTACTTACAAAAAAAGTTGGAAGGTGAAATAGGCAGTGAACAGTCGAAGTCAAGGCAGCAAACTGTAACTGATTCTGTGAAACACAACAATTATTTTCTAGAAACTCTTCCATGTAGTGTTTTCTTTAAAAAGGGCAGGTTTGGGTTGGGGCAGCAGGGTGTAGAGCTGTCTCTAGTCTGGTTTTGGCCAGTAGTTGTGCAGTTAGTTGTAACTTGTTAAGCATTACTGGTTTGTAAATTATGAAGAAATTACAAAGCCATTAAGTCTGAAAAATATGTGCACTCTGGTTTCCACTTCCAGCAGTTTGGATACATTCCCCAGCACAGCCTAGGAGAAACCATTATTTGTGATTTCATGGCAAACTGACCAGAGCAGAGCAAATGAATGTGTTTGTTGCTGGCCCATTCTGTTGTTATTCAGGATCTCCTGGGCTTGTACATCTACTGCCTGTCTTCCTTTTGCCTCTCCAGCCTCTCTTTAGAACCTGGTGCTATTTCTATTGTTGATAGGATCAAATACCAAAATAATCCAAAGTCAGTGTACAGCAGTGTCACCAAAATGAGCTGCATATTCACCCCCCCTTCTCCCTGTATAAGAATGCTTAATAAACTCCTTAAACTTCCATAAAAAGTAGAAGAAACAATAAAAGGAGAAAGTGTCTTGTAGGACTGTGTTATGGAGCGAAGTGTGTGGGTTTGCTGCCTGGGGCAGCAGTCTGAGGGGGGTGGTTATTTCCTATATAATTGCAAAGCTGTGCCAAGGCTGCCAGAGTAGACTTGTGCATATAAAAGAAGCAAGACTAATCTTCATCCCAAGACAAAAGTTTTCAGATGGTCCTTCAATGGTGTGTTTCCTGTTGCTGCTCTTGGAAATCAGTCTTCCAGCAGAACATTTGGAAATGGGTTTTCCCAAGTGTGGTGGCTTTGCCCACATTCCCAAATTCCCCTGGGGGCTCAGCTGCTCTGACCCTCCCATTGCTTGAGGCTTTTCCTGTGGCACACCACTGCCCCAGCTCCCAGCACTGGAGGAAAGGCCAGGAAGTACAGTGTTCTCATGCTCCCAGAGTCTCACTTCTAGAACTTTTAAAAGCCCTTAAAACTTTTCATAAGGTTTTTTTGGTTTTTTTTTTAAGTTAAAAAAAGTATTGAATTACACTTTGAATTGAGCAGGGGATTAAATGAGGCAATAGTAGCCTGTGAATAATTCTGCTTGTGTATTTCTAATTAATGAGCAGTGTCCATAGCTGTTGGTTGTGAACAGAGAAGGAGGCACAGAGTTCTTTGCAGCTTAGGCAGAAGTTTCTATCAGTAGATACACAACAGGGTGTTTATCTGATGTTGTCAATGCACACAAGCTCATGGGAAGATTTAAATAAAGACCTTGTCCTTATGCACACTAATGGAAAGCTGCTTTTTTCCCCATCTGGTCCCCATCATTGTGAAGGAATGATGAACTCCAAAGACTCTCAAGGTGAGTAAATGCAAACTTCCTTTCCCCTCCTCTTGCCAAAACTGACTTTGCTTATTTTTGAAACTGTTTTGGCCCTGCCTACAGGAGGTGAGGAGGAAGCGAGAGATGCTTCTGCTCAGCCCAGATTCTATTCTGAGCACTTCCAGCGTTTTCTCTGGCCCAAAATAGTTTTGGAATCAAGGTTGCTGTGTTTCCTGCAAGTTTTAGTGATGTGTCAACTAGGATGTAGTAGACATCATTCTCTCATTAGACATGTTTATTAACATGTTATTTTTCATCAGCTTCATCCAAAGCAACTGTGTTTATGTATAGGAAGACTGCCATTCTAAAGCCAGTAAGGCACATGGGAAAGCAGGCTGTTAATTAAGGAGCTTTGGCCCTGTGTTTTGCAGGAGGATAAGTAAGGAAGATAAGGAAATTTTGGATGCTTGGAAATTTTTCTCCTAGCAAAATGTCACGGAATTGAAATTAGGCTGAAAGTTACATGAAGTTGTTTATAAAAGCAGTTGAATGAATGAATGGATTTGGAGTTCTGTCTTTGCAAACATGGTACAATTTCCTTTGCACTTACAACCTTTATTAAAGTAATCTGAAAAAAATCCAGACCCAACTGCTTGTCATCTTGTTTAATGATGGTTTTTCAGCACTCTTTGTTCATATTCTTTTCAACATGTTTAGAGATCACTGTACACCCAAAAAGCACAGCGATAGATTTTATCGTTTGTGTGCCATGTAGAAGTTTGTCTGGGTGTGATTTTTCTGCTTTCTACATTGGTCTTCCTGTAGCACATTGCAAACAGTTTGTACTTAAAATCTACTGCTGCAAAATATTAATATGTTTTCCTTTATTTTGGCAAGCTGCAAAGATGCAGAAATCTTAATGGATGCAAAAGCATGAAAAGGAAGCCATTGTTTAACCAAGTGTAGCTTTCATTCATTCTGTAACTCTGTAATAAATGCAAGATGTTGAAAGGAAAGGAGCCAAATATTAGTGTGGTCCTGAGAGACCAAGCATATAATGGAGCTACTTAAATTTGTCATTCTTCTTTCATGATTACAGTCAAAATCTAAAATGTACACAGATGTTATTTCTGTATAGATTCTGTATAGATAGTTTTGGTTTTTGAGCATTGTTAAATCTTTTTGTCATGTTTATAATACAACGGTTTCCTTTTTTTCTTTTTTTTTCAAGAGTTTTTCCATTTTTTAAATGGAATTCCAGCAGGCAATCAGTTGCTGCAGAGGAATCACTGATTCCTTGGAGAGCAGGGTGGTCCTACCTGCTGGGTTCTGTGGGCAAGGTGCCAGCTTGGAGTGGCACACAGAAGTCTGGTGGCAGTGGCAGTAACTTCTCTTTCATGTCATGGTTTGCAGTGAGTGACTCTGGTTTTTGAAGACAAGGGGGTTCAGGCTTTAATATCTGAGCCTCAGCTACTTTGGGGCAGAAATAATCCTCTGTGAGCAGAGGTATGAGCTGTCCAGGTTGTCTTTGTTTTGGTGAAATTGTTTCCATGCTAATATTCCTGTGTTGGATCTCTGGAAAGAAAAGAATGTAGGTCTGGGCTGAATCATAACCCAGCACACTGGAGGTTGCTTAACCTTGCCTAATGCTCTCCACCTGAACCCCACTGCTGCTCTCAGAATAAGGATCTCAGTAGCTTGTGAAGGTCTTGCAGGAGTGAGGAAAGCAAATGAACCTGCTCTAAGCATGGCTTTGTGTGTCAGTCCAGATTTTCTTGGAAAACTCCTATCCATGTGTGTTCCCTGAGAGCACATCTGCTGCCTTCCATGCACTGTAAGAAATCCAGGGCTCATGTGATGAAGGCAGCCCTGAATGCAGTCTCTGACACCAGCTCTGTGCACTTCACGGAATCCTCTGCTCATGTCTTTCCTTGAGCTTGGGTTGTGTTTGTCTCAGAGCCTGGCAGAATAAACACACCCAGAAAGATTTCTGTGGCAGAAAGAGTGGAAAATTGATGTGTGGTTCTTGTCTGGAGGATAAGGCTGCAGGGGAAGAAGTGGTGGCCTGGACACAAACTCGGGGAGTTTTTGCACTTGATCAGACTAAAATAGAGGTGGCAGCAGTGAAAAAACTCAAGCAGCTATTCCTGCTGAAGGGAGGTCATGCAAGTTGGTGAATGCAGTGTTTATGTGACATGAGAAACGTAATATCTACCTGGTTTTCCCCAAATAGACCCCCAGGTGGTGGGAAAAGAGAGGAGATGCTTGGGAAATGCTGCTACACCAGCACTGAGCAGATTGACACATTCCTCCTACATCTCTTTCTCCCTGTAGCATTATTCTTTAGCAAGAACACTCCCATTCTTGCTGCATTTTGTGACACACAGTGGATTTAAATCAGGATCAAATCCCACTGAAGAAGTCAGGATGTTACAGTGCAAAAGCTGGTGGGGGATAAGTCAAGACCTTTGTGATTCTCAGTGCATGAGGAACTTGAGGTGTAGCTGCTGGCTGATGAGAAGGGAGATGTCCTGTGAGTCAGCGTGGAGGTATTTCTGTCAGAAGGGAGCTCTTGCTGCAAACCATGCTCAGGATGAATAGGCAAGACTGCTGTACGTGCAAAGCAATGTTTTTCCACCTGTGTGTGTGTGTGAGGCTGAGCACAATGCAGTTTTAGTGCATGGGAGGGCTGGGGAGCAGGCTGGAGGCACAGCACGTCGATGCTTTAGCTGCAGGAGCAGCACACCCAGCATGGCATCTTGTCAAACTGGGCTGTCCTCAGCAGCTCATCCCATAACCCAGCAGGTCAGGTGGAAGTTTCCAGAGGTGAGCTGGGTTTGATCAGCTGTGTTGGAGTGTCCAGACACATCAGCGCTGGGGTCAAGTGTTTGGTGAGCACATGATGACATGCTGGAACAAAATTCTCCCCTTGGAAGGTGATGCTGCCTGATTTTCATTAAGCAGTCCCCAGAGTGGGTGTTCAGAATTCAAAACTAACTGTTGTTTCACTTTTCCTGTAGTGTTAAATCAAAAAGGGACTTCCCAGGAGCGTGAGAACAAAGCTTGCTCTCCAGCTTCCTATTTGTTTTAACTAGTGGAAGACAAAAAACCTATAAAATTTGATGTCTTCATCAAATGCTGGATTATTTCAGCTAAGGCTTATTTCTGTTCAGAATCTGTATATTTGCAGTATATGCCATGCTGCTGGTAGGGTTGTGTTGAAGCCAAAGGCAGTGAAAGATGATCAAATAATTCCCCCAGTGTAACTCTAGGTTTAGAATTCAGCTTTTTGTGAGTTCATAACTGTCAGAAGTTTGCTGTATTTGACAGTATAGATGAGAAGCTGGTCTTGCAAATAGTGGTAAACTTCCCTTGGGGTTTGGAAACTTTGTACAAAGTACCACACAAAGCACAAAATTAAAAGCACATAATTAATCACTTCAGCAGCTCCTGCTCTGTACAGCCACAGCTCAAGCTGTCCATTGTTGCCACATCATTTGACTGCATGAAGCCCCTTTATTTCTGATTTAAAGGTCTAAGAACAGTAATTTGATTGTCTCAAACATCTCTTAATGCCTTAACAATGAAAAAGGAGCTGCATATTTTCCTTCTGAAATGTGATTGTCTGCAGGCACGAGTCACACTTTGTGTCTGCCCAGGGTTATAAGGGAGCACATGATGCCTTGCAGGGCTTTGCAGCACATCTGTAATCACCAGCAGTATTTTTGTGCTGTGTTTTTGGTGTGAGGGCTATTTTTGCAGGAGGAATGAAGCTATTTGCCATCAGAATTTTTCCCTTATGCAGTGAAAAATAAATGTCAGTATTACATATCGTAATTTCATACTTGTCTCAGAATAATTATTTAACAGAATGTATAATTTTCACAGTTAAGAGGTTTGAAAATTAAATGCTACGTGGTTTCTGGCCTGCAACCTAGTACCCCAGGAATTTGATGAAATGTGTTTTTTTAGGATGTATGCTGTCAATAGATGTTTTGCTCATATGTTTCACTGGGGCTTTTATTTTCTCAGGAAAATAGTGACACTGGAACATCCATAAATGAATTTCATTTAGTTTTCAGGTAAGGAGAGCAATGCCTGCAGTTGTGTCTTTATGGATAAGGAAGGTAAAAGAAGAGTGTAAGACTGATGGCATTGTAGACAATAGTCCTTGCTCCCATAATTTAATGATAAGCTGAATGTCTGTAAGGAACCATGCATAGGGAGGAAACTTAAGCACCTGATTTTATGTTTTGTAATATTTCTATTGAATTTTTAGTATGATAAAAATGATGTTTTGGTTTTGTTTAGAAATAAACACAGGTGATGTGGCAAACAAAAACCCCTTTTAATAGCATGCAGCAGCACACAACAAGCTGCACTACAGTTTAAGTTTTGTCAGGATTTCTATCCTGGATCCAGTTTTCAGAATTACTGTCAGCTCTGCAAGTCTTCTTCATTCTGAAACTTGTCAAGGTGTTTCTCTGCCAAGAACTTACTGTTGTCTTTTTCAGCTCAAGTGTATCTGGTTCCTTAATTTCTAGGATTTTATTAGTTGCTGTAATGCCAGTGTGAGTGCTGAAGTGATTTCTGCAAAATACCAATGGTTAATGTCCAGTGAGATGTGTTATCTGTTTAGTTAAAGCCCACTTTGTGGTGAAAGGGATTGTAATGCTTATCATTTCAGGCAGGTCAGCTGCCCAGGGAGCTGTCCTGAGGAAGGCACAGCGAGGGCTTTGCTGCAGAACTCTGCCAGTTGTGCTAATGTGGAGCAGTGTATTGTATCTGCTCCTTTGTGGGGCTGATCTCCGGGCTGTGCTGCCGAGCAGGGAATCACACAGCCGTGTTCCCATGAATGGAGGGGAGGATTAGACCAAAACCCCATTATCTGGCCAGGCCTCGGGAGGTACGGAGTGACAGATCTCCTGCCTCGACTGGAGCTGCTTGCCACCCAGAGGAGTGCAAGGATCATTTATGTCAGAGGCTTTTTGTTGGAGAGCTTCCAAAGAAAGCAGTGGGAATGGTGTGGATTACTGTCTTCTGTGTCATTAAAAATAATCTGGAAAACTGATCCCTTCCTTGCCCCATCCATGAATTGTAGCACCCCAATGAGTGGTTTGGGTATATAACACTTGCCATGAGCCATTTGGAATGTGTTAGCTGTGGAACTCCTTAAATACTTTTTTTAATTAGGCCACTCAAATGGTGTAGTTAAAGGAGATAATGTTTTCCTCATTTATTTCACTTTGGTTTTGGGTCATAGTGGACATAATGTCAGGTCCTCCCCAGCCACTGACTGGTGTCCAGAGATGGCCAATGTTAACGGGGAGAGGATTTATTCACATAAGCATCACAGAAGGCATCTTTTCCTTCATCTTGGAGTTGTACTTTGCAGGAAGTGTCTCTCAGCCACCTACTCAAGCACTGTGAAACAAAACCTTCAGCTTCTGTTTGTATTCAGTTGCCTCAAAATTGAGCTGAGGGATGTTTTGGAAGTGTACCCAGCTGAACTGCCCAAATGCAGAGTGAGTTCTAAAAACCATCTTACGCAGCCCTGGACTGTGCTCCGGCCCTTGCCTGGAACCTGTGCGAGTCCTTGGTGGCTCAGGGTCTGGATAGTGTGAACAGAGTCATCTTTTTAAAGAAAAAACAGTTGTGTTATGTGTTGCCTTTGTTATGCACAGGCAATATTTTGGGTCCCTTTAATCACAATTACTGCTGAAAGCTGTAATACCCGTTATTGCTTTCATATTGCAGATTTCATGTAACCATTGATGCTCCTGTTCAGGACAGTATTAGTCCTGTGACTGAGATTTCAGGTGCTTGCCATTAACCTCAGGTTCTTTCTCTCCCCTGCCCCATTTTTAGAGGCGTTTGAGTCTTTGCTTCGCTTTGCTGAAAACCGCACGAGTTCCCTGTTTGAGACAGCTTACAGACCTATGGCAAAAGAAGCAGCAGAGCCTGTTAAGGAGCTTTTTACAGACATCTCTCTCTACATTCTGGGCGCAGAGACCACAGTGGAAAGTGCAGTACTGCGGTTCTTTGACAGTCTCTTTCCTCTGGTGTACAGCCGGCTAATAAACCCAGGAATTACAGATCTGTCAGAGGACTATACGGAGTGTCTGCGGCTTACAAGGCAAGACATAAATCCTTTTGGACACTATTCCAAAAACATGGTTACAGAGCTGTCAAAATCTCTTTGGGCCAGCAGGATGCTGAGCCAGGCCCTGAGCCTGGGCATTGAAGTGATAAATACGACTGAGCACGCCGCTGTGAGCAAGGAGTGCAGCAGGGCCCTGGTGAAGATGCAGTACTGCCCGCACTGCCAGGGCCTGACGCTCATCAGGCCCTGTGTGGGATATTGTCTCAATGTCATGAGGGGCTGCCTGGCCAGCGTGGCAGAGCTGGATGCTCAGTGGAGGGAGTTCATCTCCACGCTGGAATATCTGACTAATGAAATGGCAGCCTCCCACGAGCTGGAGATGGCTCTGTCGGGGATCTGGAGCTCCATCAACGAGGCCATCCTGCACGCGCAGCTGAACGGGCCGCAGCTCTCCGCTACCGTAAGTGTCTCTGATTATTTGCTACTCCCATCTAGCAATTTCCTCCTTCGGTGGATAAACGTTTAAACAAGTTGGTGTTGTCTTTGCAGCAGTTTTTAGTCTTTAACTAGATCTTCAATAATCCATGTTTAATAATTCATGCAGACTTTACAGATGATTATGATGGGGTTCAGTGGAGGCTGTTTTGAAATTAAAGAGATGGGGGGATTTGTTTCTTTAGAAGAGGGCTCTGCCTTGTCTGCACAGTTCTCTACACAAAAATTTGGGGTCTGTGATACCAGATACCTATGAAGTCAGGAAGGTAGTACAGGTTTGTAATAAGTACACCTATCATACAGAAGTTGTGAAAAAGTCCAAACTTATTTGGCAGCATTTACATAAGTAAAGGATAAAAATACGCTTGAAGTGGAAGCAGCTTTGTGAGTGGTGTAGATTAAGGGGAAAGAACTAGGATGGTAGAACTGTCACATAAATTATAGCAGCATATGACTGGCAGGTGTTCTCTCAAGGTGTTGAAGATTAGGCTAGAAATTACTGAAATGATTAATGATGCAGCTGACTACATCTGTATGAAGTTAATACAACTGTCAGTGGAAAAAAATGTAGCAGTGTGGCCTTAAGTAGGGTACAGAGACTAATCTGAAAAAATGCAGATAGATCTGCCTGTCTTGAAAGTAAAGGAATTCTTGGAGAAAACAGAGATGGAAATGCACAAATTTAAATATGTAATTTCTGTCTTTTTTAAAAAATCAAGGTTTTTTATAGGAGAAAAATGCTTCTGTGTTTGCAGCCTTCCAAAATCCGTGATATTGAAGCTCCCTTCACTGTAGAACACCTAACAGAGTCATGCTTAGTCAGTGTCATACATAAATTATAAAAAAAACCCCAACCACTTTTTGTAATCTAATAGAATTTCACTTGGTATTTTAGCTAAAACTCAGTTCCTATTGCCACAATTTTCCTTTCTTTCTCATGAATGGCAGACTTGCTAGTTCATCTGCCATCCAAAGAGAAACATGGAAAACCTCTGAGAAGTTTTTTCAGGTTCTGGAGTAGTGGACAGTGGGCCCTGGAGCCTGCATGTGCTGCAGCTCTGCGTTGTGCTAAAGTCTAGTTGGTGGTGTCACAATGTGCCCCCTGCAGGAGTGCTAACATGCCATGAACAATGCTCCTGCATCTGCCCCTGTTTTCACCCAAAAGTTGTTTTTATATGAGTTTTTTATAAAAGGGAACCAGAAATCAAAGCACACCATTACTATTATAATATTATATTAATTATTAATTATATTAATTATATTATTGTATATTGGTTTTATCTGACTATAGATGGATACCTCTAAAATCATTGTAGAGCTTCATTGCTGATTACATGGACAGAATGCTAAAACATAACTCTGCATTGCCTTTTATCAGCCTTATAATTACCATGCACTTGCTTAGCTTACTGAGGGGTAAAATTCATGATCCAGGTGAATATTGGATAATTATGGATGAACTCAGTGAGTGTACTGCTTTTAGGTGATTTGGAAGTAGAATTCTCTCTAAAGTGTTCTTCAGGCTCAGAATTCTCTTTAAATATTATTCAAATAATTTTATTTAGGGCCTTTTTAATTCCCTAGCAACACCTTTAAACATTTGCCTTCTTCCATTTGGAGTAAGTTCAGAAAATGCTGTTGAAATTCCATTAATTCTTTTTTCCCTGAAGTTATCTTTGCTTTCTGTGACTGGCAGAATCTCCATGTGCAGAAGAAGGTTGTGTGTTCTAGGGGCTGCTCAGTAGGACGCTGAAGGAGGTTTGAAAATAAAAACTCTGCCTCAGTGTGTATTACCTTCAATCCTTTCAGTTGTCTGCAGAGTAAGATGATATTTGGGAGTGTCGTGGTTTTAAACCAGTAACTAAAAAAACTACTCATTTCTTGTTGTGAGATATGGATTAGAACAAGAGCAAAACAGGCTTAAAACGTAAAGGGAATAAAGACAGAACGTTTTTCACTATTTGAACAAGCATTCATCTGATACTGGTTTAAATCTTTCCTGATTAGTTACAGAGGATAACGATTATTTAGAAAATTGAGCCTAATTAAGCTGTATTTTCTTCTCTGAAGAAGTGGAAAGGAGTTCAATGCTCAGATTTCCTGCTGGAGATGGCTTCTGGGAATCCAGGCTGTGATTCCCAATTACACTGGGGCCATTTGATTTGTACCCAAGGTATTTACTGTTGGTTTTACTTAAGGGATTCTTTATTTTCCCCAGAAAAGATACCTTCTCTTTTCCTTTCCTAAGTGTTTGGAGACCTTTTTTTGCTCATGCAGTGCACTCTCCAGCTTCTGCAAAATTGGAAATGTTCAGCTTAGGTACAGTTTCCATTACATATGCAGTAATTGGTTTCATTTGATTATAATGGAAAACTCATCCAGGAAAGCAGAGCACTCCTAGTAATCTTCATTTATCCCGAGGCAGCCTTAATTAATGCGCCTGCCCTTTTAGGAAACATTTTACATTTTTAATAGACAATATGGCTAAAAATTAGGGTTCTTTTTTTCTCTTGTTGCCTGCCTGGATGATAATGAATAATGGAAGGTTAGATTATGTTTTCTTTAAAATGGGGAAGGGGTGAAATAAACCAATAAAGCACTTAGGATACTTTGCTGAGATGAGGTGCAGTCAATTGATATTAAATCTAAAACTAAAAATCCTATTTGTATGAGGCGTGCATAACTTCAGGAGAGTGGCCTCTGCTGATCTTGTCCATTATAGCCAAGAGAATTGCCTGATTTGCTGGGATAGCAAGTGTGAAAGGTCACCTTTAAGATATTGGTAATGTCTCCTCGGATTCCTGGGGAATGTGCCATGCCATTTGTTCAATGATGCTGGCTTGCATCCAGCTTACTTAACCTAATGCAGGCCAGCCCCGCTCTGCAGCACCAGCAATCATCATCATTGCTTTCATCTGCTCAATCTAATTGTCCTTCCTCCTCCTAGGAGCCCTTCCTTATCATTTCCCTCTTGCTTTATTTCTTTTTCTGTTTTTGTGTTTTAAAGCTGGCCTCCTTTTTCATGTGTCCAGTTACTGGATTGCTGGACAAACTCTGTACTTACGCATCGCTCCTGATGTCAATTTTATTTTGTATTCAAAGTGAAATTTTATTTTGTATTTCAAAGTGAAAGTAAACAGCTCTCAAGTAAAATAGAGGAGCAGGAAGAGAGTTGTGAAATGTGAGTGGCTGCTGGCACTTCAGGCAGGTGGATCAGCAGGTGAGGTAACATCTCCCTGTGTGGACCTCGTGGTCGGGTTCTTTCTCCCCTTGAACTGAAATTGATGAGAGGGAGGCTGTTTTTTCTCTCTTGTTCAAACTTGGTTGTTTATTCTTCTCTTATCAGCATTACATGGATACAGGGTACAAGGAGCTGTGTGCACTAAGATAGAAAGGCACAAAATGGCTAACAAGGATTTTCTTCAGGGTCTTTTATATGTCCATTTACCCAATTAACAGGTGCTAACTAAATTATATTTCTTAGTGACCCAATGACCCAACACCTGTGAGCTGCACTGCAGCATTCTCTATCCAATCACTCACTACCCAAAAACCTCTAGGAGAAGAAGATGAAGAAGAAGAAGAAAGAAGGACAAGAGACAACTCCCTAAATCCTCCATCTTGTCTTCTGTTCTCTAAACTACTCTAAACTCCAAACTTTAACTTTTTCACCCAGTGACATAAGAAACTTTCTAATTTACACATTTACATTCCTAGTTTTTCTGTTTAACCTTAAGAGTTGTTTTCAGGATGTTATATGAAATTCAGTGTTTTCTTGGATGTCAGAGCCAGGTATCAGAGATAAGGGCACACTCTCTGTGCCTCTGACTCCAGCAGTAACAAACACTGCCCTCACTCCTGGAGCCAAAGCCCAGTGAGGTGTTCCCATCACTCGTGCAGGGCCAGCAGGGATTTACAGCCCTGCTCCAGCAGATCGTGTCTGGGGGTGGAAACAGGGTAAGAGGTGAGGAAGATTTCTGTTGGATCAGAAATGACTGGAATCTGATCAGTCCCACCAAGTCCAGGTCTGAGTGCTTCCCTTTGGGCCTTCAGTGAGGTTTGGCCATCCTGCCCCAGCGGTACTGCTGCTTCTGCCAGCGCCCGTCATCTGTGGGATGGGTTTCCTGCTGGACCACTGGGCACTCGTGGGGTGCTGCCCTGCTCAGGCACAGATTTCCTTTAGCTTTGCCAGTCCATGGTTCCAGAGATTGCCCTCGCCTGCCTCTGCAGCAGAATCCCTTTGCCTGCCTGCCCTCGTGGTGGGAAATGCAGAGGGATGTGTGGTAGCAGAATATTTGCAATGTGGGAAGGCAGGTGTTTCTCTCTGTTCTTGCTGCAAGGAGTTCATCAGCATAAAGTATTTATCTTGTTGCTGATGTTTCAGAGGCTGAAAAAGCATTAAATGAGGAGAATGTAAAATGCCACAGACCTGATATTTTCAGAATGGATAACTGTTAGGCAAGAGCAAAGTCCAACATATTGTGTTTTGTGATTTTAGGAGTAATGAAAGCAAAAGCTAATAAAAGGCTTGATAGGGATTATAAAACCAAGATATGATCAGAGATTAAGCATTAGGAGAAAGCAGAAAGCCTGAAGGCAAGTTAATTTCTTGGAGACAAGCTCACCAATTAATGTGATAACAGTGATATAAAAAGCGATAGAAGAATAAACTTTAGGAAGAAGAGCGCAGATAGAGGCAGGGAAAATACAGAAAGGGAAGGATGTTTAAGGTGCAAGATGCATGGAATTGCAGGAGTGTCAAGAGGGACAGAAATAATGTTTGTGATCAAAATTGGATCAAAATCAATGACAACCTTTCTACAAATCATGAAGACATCGAGGAGAAAGATGGATAATACTGAGAAAAGATCCTCTAAATACCATCTGTATTTTAGAGTCTGGTTTCAGGTTGTAATGAAGGAGACTTTCTGATGCCTATTTTTGGCAGATCATTTGAGTATTGTT